ATTCCGAAGTGAAAATATCTGGTTACTTATGAATCACAACAAAGCAACTTTTGGAGAACAGTAAGGTACCGAGAAACTCAGCTATTTTGTTGTCAAAAGCTACGAAGTTAACTGGTGGATGGTGACTAGCAGCAGAATCCAAAATGAGCATTTCGTCCTATTTGGGACTCGTCATCTGGATGCACCTGCATTCAGCACCGAGACTCGAATTCAGTGCCTATAGCTTCTAACGGGTCATATTTGCTAGTCACCATCCACCAATCAACTTCAAATTACATACCCAGACATCATCGAAGCATCTACACAACAAGCCGACATGTCGACCTGAAACTGAGTACTTCGGTCCAATCAATCGACGGGAAAAAGTAAAAGTGAATTAAAAAAGTTAGAAAGCTTTGAAAGAGCTTTTATACGTCTATAATTATAGCTACTGTACTCGGTGAAAGGCGAAATATTTGTCAAGTCAGTTTTTGTAGGGACGAAGTGAGTGAGAGATGAGTCACTTAAGGATTGAAAGTCTGATCAACCTTTCGGAAGCTTTCACTAGCTTTCCGAAACTTATCGTTGTGTGGTGCTAACTGTAAAAGAAGCAGATGAGTTCAAATCAAATGTGGGCCAGTTGTTTACTAGTTTCTTTTAAAAAAGCAATTTTTACCAATAATCACCTTTTGTTTGCACATTTAACTTCTATTTTATGATATTTCTGTTAGTGAAGAAATGCCTAAATGATTTACACTAAACTCTAGTGGTAATTAGCTCTCAAAATTCGCTGATTAGAATTATGTTACTTATCAGTAGTAAAAGTTTTTACGTGTATTTTTTATCAAGGTAATACTATCTGTTTGATGTTATATTCGTAATATTTAAATACCAGTCTTGGTCCTTGGTGAAATTGTCCGTAGTTTGTAAAGAAGAAACGAGTAATTCGGTCTATCATGAGATCGAGTGAATAAGCCTACATATAACTAGAATATTACAAATGTTGAAACTTGTGAATGAAGATGAACTCAAATAAAGTCGTAGTAAGAAAATAATGTTCAGACTGAAATTGTGAACTGGAATTTAGAAAAACAAAACTGAATACTGTGGAATGAAGGATTTCTTATGTCGAATGGAAACAAACTACCACTGACTAGAGCTTTCGTTCAAAATGTAATCGGAGTGACGATGGCAGTACTATCTGTCCACATATGGAACTTTAGCACTGTGATAAAGCATTCACAGTGATAAAGTAAACTTCTCTGAGTAATGTTAGTACATATATTCCGTCATCCTCAAACATAGTTCCAAAGAACAGTCCTGTTCACCGAAGGCAGACCTAATATCAAGAAATACAATGATACTTTTATTGGATACTAGTCGATGACTAGTGTAGTGTGTCTAGTCTTTTGTTTGGTGCAGACTGAATTCTATCAATGAAGTTTGCATTGTGGCCATTATGCCTCCAGGTGACTCATCATAACGGTGCACTGTGAATTGTTCATACTAAATGGTTGAAGGCAATCGGCAGGAAGCCTTGCTTGACCTAGGTTTCGTGTTAGTTGACATTCGTCAGTAAGGCGTATCTACCACCTTGAAGGAACTCATGTCCCTTCTCAGATTCGAACCCGTGTCACCCGAGTGCTGCAGTGAGTCAGAGACATTACCACTGTACTATTCGGCCTCGCGATCAGTCTCCTGTAGGACTGTATTGGATACTTCCTGTCAATTGCTTTTACCCATCTAATATCAACAATTCACAGTGCACAGTGGTGGTGAGCTACCTAGTGGCATAGTGGCCACAATGCAAACTTCATTGATAGAATTCAGTCTGCACCAAACAAAAGACTAGACACACTACACTAGTCATCAACTAGTATCCAATAAAAGTATCATTGTATTTCTTGATATTAGGTCTGCCTTCGGTGAACAGGACTGTTCTTTAGAACTATGTCAGAATGGGTTATTATTGAGACTTTTGTTGACATCTTGAAGGCCATATATACAAAAACCTGAGGTAGTGAGAACATACCACCATTCGTCACCAGTGTTCTTAACCGAAAGTGGGGTTAGACAACGCTGCCCTATCTCATCACTGTTCCTATTAATAATCTACTGGTAATAACTCTGAAGGATGTACATGTTGGTGTAGAAAGAGAGATTTTTTGACCTCTACTATGCAGACTGTCATCTTACCTTTCAATAACATACAGGTTACCCAAACTGCACTTAAACAGCTAATGGTGGGTGTCTGTAAGTGCAAGGTACTGCTGTAAGATTGATGGGAGCCTATACTTGTCCACATCCTTGCAAGTGAACCGTTAGAAGTAGTGGACAAGTTTGTGTATCTAGGCACTTGTGTGAGTGATGGTATAGGTGTGGCAAAAGAGATCTCTAACCGTATAGCGATAATTCGGTCGGCATACGCCATCTCCGGTGCAGTTGTGATGTTAGCTTAGCTGTCGAATTTATAATGCTTCGGTGAGCAAAGCTATGCTTGGCCTCTCAGATCTGAGGATATGCATTCGACCAACGCTGCCACCATAGGACAGTTCGCATCCAGTGGGATCATTATATATGCAATTTTGAGGTTTGGCGGTTTGTGTCTGGGCTCAGTCTTGTCATTTTGGAACACTGGCTTAGATGCTTATCAAGAATGTGATCTTAGCATCTCCCATACCGTTCACTCGTTGTTAGCCATCGGACTGGGTAGAAAAAGCGGAGAGATGGTAAGCCCGTGAAATAGTGCCGTGAGTCTAAGGATAGCTGTATCAGCCTAGCACCTGTTGGTGAACTACGACTGCCTGAGTGTAATGCGAGAGATAATATTCAAGTCAGTTATCAAATACGGTTGACAGTCGGAATCACTAGAGAATATGCTACAATCTCCTTTCGTCGCTTTCCAAAAGTAACATAAACTAATGAACCATCCTTTGTTTGCTCTCGATGAGTATAATGACTTGCTTTCTCGACACTATCCCTCATTTATTTCATCTCTAATTTTATTTTGTGTGGAATATCCCTTGGCGATCATACTGGTCAAAGCAATATAAAAGATTACGTTAATTGAAGAGATTTTCTGATTCACAACCAACAACTTCACTTGTCTTACGATATTCAGCCTGCCAACCTACATTGACCACCACGATATCAAGAAACTTTATAAACTAGTTTTGTACCTTACTTCCCCTAACACCACTGATCGTCTGTCTGTTTTCAACATAGAACTATGCACCGATGTACAGCAGTTCGAGTCGGCACAATCCATGTACCACACAGAGCAACAGAAGAAATTCATAACAGAGACAGTAGACAGGGATATGAGACAAAAGGAATAGTAGTAACGAAGAACAACATAGTTTCATTGGAAATCATAAGTTAGAAGGAGTTGATGCATCTGAGCCAGCCACTGAGAACGATTTTGAGCCAGTCTTATCACCAATTGTCTCCAGCCCGCATTGGATTTTACCAATCGTGAGGACCCTAACCAGTCAGGAAGTCTACACCTTCCTTACTACGTGGCTGGCTGGCTTAAACTAACTTTTGTGGATTTCATTGACTGATGAAGCCATGTTTCAATTTGACCATCACTAGCTAACTCTCTTCTAACCTGATCGATCCTATGTCAGTTAACATCGCCCGTCGAGGAAGGCGATGGCTAGGAATGCATACGTAACACATGTCCTAACCATCTCATTCGATGTAACTTCACAACCTCGTCTATTGACTTCCCCTCCTTACCTAGAACTCGACCGAAGCCCTAATCTCAATATTGCTCACCCTATTATACCACTTCAAACGGAAGATATAACACAGGTACCTATGATCAAAGACTTTTTCATGTCTGCCACTTTCAACGGCTGGGTCTCACAACCATAAGGGAGGACGGAGCAGACTGCTGAGCAGTATACCTGCCCTTTGGTCGATAGCCATTCGGATATCACGTCTACGCCAGAGACGGCGTAAACTGGTATATGCAAAACTAGCCCTCTATATCCATGCTGAGATTTCGTCAGCAATCTACCCGCTGACACTGACTGATACAACTTCCCAAATAAGTGAAGCGGTCAACGTGCTCTACCACTTCATTCCCTATTTCTAAACTGGGAGTCAGTGCAGTCCAGTCCTGTAACATCATCTTACATTTGGCGGGAGCAAATCGCATGCCAAACATTCTGAAATTGCAGCTCAAGGTGTTTAGAAGACCCCGCATTTTGTCAGCGTCTTCACTCAGAAGGACTATATCATCTGCATATTCTAAGTCAATGAGATCATTCCCTAGTAACAAGTCAATCCCTGAGTCGCTGAAGTCACTTAGGGTTAAGTCCATTAGTACACCTATAATGAAACTGAATAGAAATTGGGATAGTGGGAATCCTTGACCGACACCACTAGTTGTCACCAGTTGAGATGACAACTCTCCGTAAGCCATCACCTGGTTGACTGCATGAGTTCGAGTAGAGGGAGTGCCTCGATTAGTGCAATGTATTTTCTCGACATTCCCTATACAGCCAAGCATCACCATAGTACCTCTCATACGTCTCGTGTAGGTCAAAATACAAAGATTAAAAGTTCAGACTCACAAATCTCAAGAGAAATATCAAAGCTAAAATATGTAGCCGAATGAAAGTAGCATTTCATATAACTGGTGGATGGTGACTAGCAGTGGAATCCAGGATGCGCATTTCGTCCTATTTGGGATTCGTCAACTGGATGTACCTGCATTTCCAATTCAATAGCATTTCATATGGTTAAAAACTGTATGACGATGACTGTTAGAATCAAATGAACAAAAAGGGGCAAGAAACAGGTGGGGTTGCTAGCCTTATGTCCAACCTTCCCTCTTTATCGGTCTTACTACTGGCTTAGCGAGGTTTAAGAGTGTCTTGGCGGGGGATCGAACCCCAGACCACATTCGTGGTTGGCGAGCATCCTACTGGCGAACCACAAACACACCAATAAGCAATTACTTCTGATCTAATCTTTAGAATTACAAAAATACCATCCTTGACAGTGTATTCGTTAATAAAGGTCATTATCAAGATATCTTGGTTAGAATATTTATATATTGTTAGAAAATAAAATATCTCTTATGTGAAATTAGATTATGTACAAAACAAAAATTGTAAAATCCCTCATTACTAATATACACACAATGATCATTCAGTGATCGGACTAATTTTATCAGTTCATGAGAAAGACTGCACACATAATATATGTACAATAGGATACAATGAGTTTCTCATTGTGGACTCAATGTCTAACTCTTGGTGGACTCGCGGGTTCTAGTTTAACAGAAACTTTATGTGGTGGGGAAGGGCTCGGATTGCGCATATGTCTAGGTGAGTTCCTCCTGCTATAAGGTTCTTTTTTAACCACTGAATGAGGTTCTCTGTCACTTCTGTCTCTTGACCTTCTGTTCTCTCGATGCCTCGAATGTCGATCATGTCTGAATCTCTCTTCTGGATTACGATGGCGTCTGTCCCGTTCTTCATTTCGTCTTTTGATTGCCTCAAGACGTTTTTTCTCTGCTTCTTCTTGTTCCTGCTGGATTCGTTTAAGCTCTTTCATAACTTCAGGACCACACCCGTGTTCTTTGACAAATTCAGAAACTGCATCTGTGGGTCGCTTGAATTCAGGTTTTTTATCCGTATGTCCGACATTAAGCGTTCCTTCTTTTGGCACACGATATTTGTCTACATGGTCTACACGAATTGTTCTACCGGCTAGTTTTATTCCGTTTAAATTATCTGTAGCTAGTATTGTGCTTCTTTGGTCCTCATAGCATAAAAATGCAAATCCCTTTGACACACCCGTTTTCTTATCCCGTACCAAATTAATGTTGACGATTTCTCCGTACTGGGAAAACACGCATATAACATCACCTTCGGTAAGATCATAATGCAAACCCCCAACATATATCCACGCTGAGTCTTTATACTGTCTGTGCCAACTGCTTACCGTCCCAGTATGACCGAGAGACAACTCCTTCTCATTCATTAAATTTTGGTTCTTTGCATTTGTTATTGGATTCATTGTTGAAATATTCCTTTTGAATTTACAATCTTCTGGAAAGAAAAACAAAAAAAATATCAGGCTAAATGAGTGATATAATATGCAATTAATAACATAAATTTATTGCGTATAAGTTTCAAAACATTTGGAAAAAGTGCTCACTTTCTCACTACTCGACTGTGACACAAGTTTAAGAAACTAACATCATAATGCTATGTAAAACATTCACAGAGATTGTTTCACCTATCATCTGCCTTTTACCACTTGTTTCCCCGATAAGCGTAAATAGTTGTCTGGTGTAACCTATCGCCGATGTCTTTTCCATCTCTTTCGCTTTTGTCGCCCATCACTGTTCACGGTCGTTACGAAGGTTTCTTGTTAGTTTGCGTTTCAGCAGCTTTCGTTCCTAATCATATTCGGAGCTCGCTGGAATCAGTCTTCTTGCGTCAATCAGTTCGGATAAGGTGGTGAAATTCCGATGGTCTTTACTGACTTTACGTTTCAGGCTACTAACAGCTGTAACTACAGGTAACTGTATGTTGTTGTCTTTGATCATAGGTGCCTGTGTTATATCTTCCGTTTGAAGTGGTATAATAGGGTGAGCAATATTGAGATTAGGGCTTCGGTCGAGTTCTAGGTAAGGAGGGGAAGTCAATAGACGAGGTTGTGAAGTTACATCGAATGAGATGGTTAGGACATGTGTTACGTATGCATTCCTAGCCATCGCCTTCCTCGACGGGCGATGTTAACTGACATAGGATCGATCAGGTTAGAAGAGAGTTAGCTAGTGATGGTCAAATTGAAACATGGCTTCATCAGTCAATGAAATCCACAAAAGTTAGTTTAAGCCAGCCAGCCACGTAGTAAGGAAGGTGTAGACTTCCTGACTGGTTAGGGTCCTCACGATTGGTAAAATCCAATGAGGGCTGGAGACAATTAGTGATATGGCTGGCTCAGATGTATCCACTCCTTGTGACTTATAATATTCAATAAAAATAAATTATTTTTCGGTGTTACTATTCTTTTCCACTCATATCTCTGTTTTGAATCTCGTTTTACTCTCCTCTCTTGCTCTGTGTGCTAAGTCACATGTGGTGACTCGAACTGCTGTACATCGGTGCAAGCTTCTACGTTGTAACCAGTCAGTCAGTCAATGAAAACATTCACATGCATAATGATACTAGTTTCGAGATATTTTAGTTTTAGAACGACCTCTGATTGATTAAAAAAGATAATGGAGTGCGATATTACTGTAATTTGGAAATAAGAATGTCTCTTCTACTACCATCAGTTATGGGTGTTATGAAGTTAATTACCAATCATAAGCTTATCAACTAATTTGCTTTCGTTCACTCTTACACCACTGCTTACATAGTGGTGTATTTAGGCCTCATTTTTCTTTATTTGTAATTACTTACCTGCAAAAGATACTTCATGTACCACGCCACGATCCACACTAATTATTTGAGTGCCGATGATACTAACACCAGCTACCCAGACTGAGGTAAACTGAGTGGAAATCGAAGCCGGAATAAAATGGCTGTACAGGATTTGAATATCTTACAATCACCACCATGTTTGAAAGTTTAACTATTTTAATAATAATTCAATACGTATTTTATGCATGAGCTGCCTTATGTTCGTCGGTGGTTTAGTGGTAGAATGCTCGCTCGCCAAGGGACTAGATCTCCGGTCAACGCTTTCCTTGACCTTGCTTAGCCGGAAGTAAGCCCGGTTAATAGTGAAGGATGTGTGTGAGCCTAGCAATCCCACCACCCCGTAGAAAATAAATACCAGTGCTACTGAAACTTAAAAGCTCAAGTTTGAAGCTTTATGCTCCACTAGAAATGCAAACGATTTAAATAAATAATGGCACCCTCAACTAGAATTTGATTCAGTATCGTGTCTCCTGTTCTAGGACTTAAGACCACACTCGTAAACGCATCAACTAACAAGTGAATCTTCAAGTAACGAGTGAGAAATGTGTGATTTTATATCATTGGTCATATGACATAAGATAAACTATAGAAATCAGAACCTGTTTGTGTTTTGAAAAGACAACAACAATCGTCATAAATGCCACAGTTCTTGCTAAAGACAGCCAACGGCTGTGTAGACACGAATTGTGTAGACACGAATATCCCCTGTTAGAAATTTGAAAAGCGTCTTCATGCAGCCAAATATGCTGAAGTATCTATCAAAGGATTCCGAAAGTAATGTAGATAATTTCCGCCAAGTTCTAGGGGAATAACAGAAAGTACTGCGAAATTTTAGTGCGTCGGTGGCATGGCGGTTAGGGCGCTCGCCGACCATGCACATGGTCCGGGGTTCGATCCCCGGTCGACTCACTCCTTTACCTCGCTAACGCACAGGGGCCATGCTAATCTTCTCTGTATCGTTCCAATTTTAGTATATGTACCGCCGAAGCGAGAAATGTACCGCTAAGCCAGAAATAATGCTGGTAAAGAGGAAAGGTTGGGCATGCTCAATGGATGAAAGTCGAGTACTCACGCTAACTACACTTCTAAATGTTATCAGTAGTAATATCAGTGAAGAAAAGACGTTTAGTGGAGATAGGTACCATGTAGTTACAGGCATTAGTTAACTAAACCCATTTACAAACACTGAGCTATGTGAAACCTGAGATATTTTAAATGATGAAGCAGTCACTAGTTGTTATTTGGTAGGAGCTCTTCCACAATCGGAAGTGTGGTGATAGGTGAAAACTAACCAAAAATGCATGCAGATTGGAAATATTAAAGTTATAACACAAAGATGTGTAAAAATGTGGAACTAATTGTCAACATAAAGTGCAGCCACGAAGTGTTTTGAAGTAGAATAAAGAGCATATTAGGCTTCTAACACTAAGTTGATTGACCAAGGAAAAGACAGATAGAGATTGAAAACCTTTATTTCATGGACACAATTCCGACTTACTACTGCAAAAGCTTTTATACTGCCCAGTCGGATGAGTACAAACTGTAATACATTTTTTTTCCATATGTAATAAACTCAAGTGCCAAATTATCTTTACAGTGTCGTGTTAGATCATGGTACTTTTGACAGATATGGCGAAGTTTTGCTGCAGCCAACGGGGAAAATGTTCCTTAGAATCCACAAAAGACTCAAGCGCATAAACCAAGACAGATGGTGCGATTTACAACTTTAAAAATTATGAAAAACCATGCCTTTGTCTGAAGCGAAAAAAGTGTGCTTCAGTGAGCTATAAATTCTCCCTTTTACGGCGAAATTCCTTTCACACTCGCATTCTTTGGAGATGAAAGGATTGTTTTTCACAAGCTCTGTTTACAAAATGCTATTTAATCCATATCAAAAGTTCTCTCGGAACTGTGAGTTCCTCTTAACTGGTGATACAAGTCCTTTAAACCTGAAAATGAATAGTTTCTTTTTTTCTGGACAGATCTCGATGTCCCATCACATTACCTTCTCCATTTGAGGACCAGAAAAAAATTTTCGTAATCCGATCGTACGAAAATGGTCAACAGTAAGAAAAAGTGACATAACATGCAAACTTTGACTAGATTTAACCAGCATTTTATCATTACTGAACTCAAATTTACCCATAATTTAACTGCTACTTTTCCATTTTAGCCATTATTTAAGCAATATTTTACCAATTTGAGCATTATCCAACGATGATGTGTCTATTACATTAACATTCTCACCATTTGCCTTAAATCGTGTCCATTCTAACCATAACTTAACCACTCTTCGTCCAATCCCAAGCTTACTATAATGCTGTATTCAACCTTTAATTCTGAACTAGTTCTAACATCCTATTATGAGTAAATTCTGAAACTGTTGTGAAATGGTTTGATTATGAGAATGGACTTAAACACAGTGTTGGTTTCCAGCATGACTAACACTAATTTACCACCCTGTGCTTTTTCTAGGCATTTTCAAAAGTAGCGCAGAAACTAGTGAATTTGCTAGTCAGCGTTATTTCAGCCCTCTAGCCCAGATTTAGCATTGACTGGCGTCAATTCAGAACACAAAGATTAAGTTCAGGACAAAGTGGCAATTTTTTCAGCTTTGTTTCAGCACTAAAGGCATAAATTTAGCTGGATGTCTTATTGAGGTTTCGTCACATTAACTAAATGCCTAGTGCCATCTTAAGACAGACTATAGTTAATTCTTTGCATTAGGTGTTCATTTTGGGTAGATGAGATACTCATTTACTATTGAAAGGCATTATCGATGCATTGGTTAGATTTAGTTTAGAATTACTGTAAACTTAAGTTTACAATTGGGTTCTTGTCCCATTCAGAACAGTAAACTGTACCAAGCAAGTTTAAAATAATAAAGACGAATACAGGCAAGCGAAATAAAACTATACTGGCGATTCCAAGTGACATTTACTGCAACTTACATTATACTTCTACACCCGATTAAAAACAAAGTGAATGACGTCTAAAGAGTACAGATTTTTCCTTTCGTTAAGAAAAACTACAAGGGCACAGATATGGATCAAACCTGTTTTTATCAGAATTACAATATAAACAGCATAAAGGTACACAATAAATGGGAAATAAACTAAAGTATAATTACCGACAAAAACAGGGGTACCGCTACGTTCGTTTCAGGTGCTTTCTCTAACTTCATTCAACATTCCAATATCCAATATCATTTTTACGAGCTAATACAAACCTATTTGATTTCTTTGTGCTCGCTTCTTGATTGTAAGGTATAGGTTCCCGATCTTCGGTAAACTTCTGCGTTATTACCATTATCAATATTATCATTACTACTATTATGACTGACTGCACAATTTATATTCACCATCGTATTATCCTATAGACAAAACACCATGATTGGTTTATGCTTGAATTTTATTTGTAAACTCATATATATTGGAGTTAAGCCTGATGAGATCTAATTGAAAACAATATTGTTCGCTTAAATGTGTTGTTCTAAACTTTGTGATAGGCTACTACGTACCACTGTCCTGGAAGATAGTCTCGGACTGGTTCATTTCCTCTGTCCCCTATTTTCAAGGACCTACCTGTTCCAGATAAACAGGTTATTTCTGGTTTCAGAATTCTCCAGTTTCATTATCAACCCTATATAAGACACATCATCGGAACCTCTGAGAACGTCGGCAGGTTTCTTTTTATCGCGGGATAAGCTCAAATTTTCCCTCCTTATGAGGGGTGCCAGGTATTACACATTTGCCTGAAAACTATAGAATGTGGTGGATAATAGGTTATTGTTGTCGAAAATACTGTGATAGCTGTTGTTCTATGCATCAGCTTGATCGCGGTACCAATGGGATGAGAAGACCTGTTGTTTGAATGGATTGCTCTAACTCTACTTTGTGTGTGTAAGTTTCCATTTCATCCTTCTACTCATGCCGTAATACTCTGTGTAACAGGGGTGGCCTGAAGTTGGCACTCAATAGGCCAGTTATGTGAGCTTCGAGACATCACAGTAGCCTTAGGCGGAGACGACCAGATCCCCTTTTCCTTCTGTTTAGTTTATTTAGGGACCCCATAGTAATGTTCCGGTTGATGTGGGCAGAATCTATCCCCCTATTTTGCAAGGCAACTGATGCTATGTATGATTCAGACTTCTGTGAAGTCTTTTGAGAAGTAGCCTGCCAGCAATGCTTTTTTTTCGTGTCATCCCCTGTTTTTTCTGTGTCAGCAATCGGGCCGAAGACTCTGTGGGACGTTGTATTCCTGAGACTCTTAAAATAATTCCTTGAGCACACAGCTAAATGAGATTTGAACTTCATCCGTAATTGATGAATACCCGCAACAGCTTTTATCTTAGCTGCAGTGTACAGCTTTCTGGTATATGAAGCTTAAAGGGTGATAAACACCTTCCAGCAATTGTATTCGCGTCTTAGTAACCCACAAATATTTCCTGTTAACCCATTAGAGCATTGTTGCGACTGCAACAATGGCAGCACTTATATTAACTCTTCATAAACTACGTCAAGCTTGGAGTGGCTATTTACTACCGTACATATGTATTCATACACATCAGGATGTTTTGAGATTGGAGCTGGTTATGTAGGTCAAATCCACGGACGTTTATTTTTACACAATCGTAAACATGTACCACCAGGTTAATAGCAGTGGAATCTAATTTCAATAAACGGTGGGCACAACACACAAAATCCGTGTTTCGGGAGAATATTTTTGAGATGGGTGTGTTATTCGAGCTGCAGACTAACAATAAATATTAACTGGGAGCATCAAAGAGACAATCATATGTTTCAAAGAGAATTCGGAAAAGTTCCCTTCACAATGGAATCTTTACGCAGTATTTTATTTAGACGGATGATACAACCTTGGCAATTAGGCCACTGAGCTTGGAATATGCATCTGTCAGAAATAAGATGTAGATGACTGGATTGTGTCCGAGATATACCTTCAGCAGTTGTGGTACGTCAAGTAATCTTCATTTCGAACAACTTTGCTGAAAAATATTCTCCGGGACAACAGTTCTCAGTGTTTTATGCCCATGATATACCACCTCCTATCAGCAGTCAAAAACTGTCAGATTGACCTGTTTTGGACTGCAGAGGCGTTATTTTGGGGGGACAGTGATTCAGCTGACCAATCATCGATAAACCAGAGCTTGACCAATCCCGAGGAGGCCACGAGTCCACTCACATTTAAAGGTGGTGGCGAATCAGCTCCATCGTTTTAGCGATTTCTAAACTCACAATATCGAATTCCTCTGACTTCATAAGTGTCACACATTGCTTATTTAATGGTTTCTTGTAGACAATATATTTCACATGGGTAACGTTCGAGTGCCACAGAAGAAGGATAGGATTTGTCATCTATTTCCAGAAAACTTCTGATGAGTTGCACCAATAGCAAAATCCGGTGCATCCGCCGTGACAGATGAAGAGGCGTTTGCATTACAACATACTTTTGATGTTTTCAAGATCAGATCTTCTTCTGCGAAACTTTGAATGCCGTTCGTTAAACCATTTAGTAAATTTATCAGTGTTTGTGCTAACTTCCGGAATGAAACAGGAACAAATACTGGTCAGACATAGATATCTTGATGGTTTATACGAAGAAAGGAAAAGATCGTATTCTCTCACTGCATGGTTTATTATTATGTTTCAGGGAATGAAGGAACTCTTTACCAGATTCAAACTTTTGTGGATCAACGAGGACATCAGTGTGACCACTTTTAATCATTTCTCACGCAAAAGAGACAACTGAGAGCTTTGTGCTGACTCATGACATTAACTAGTTATCAATACACTAGACTGAAACGTTGCGATAAACAGCAGCGTTAACTGTTCCCAAATGTACGATGAAAATAATACGTAATCTGTCAAGATGAACATCTGTGAATCCAAAATTATAACTACCGTTATTAGCTTAATAAGCCCACAAATCCTGTTTCTTTCTGTGACGGCCAATAATAATCATCTGGTGAAAAACTAATGATTAAATTGTCAACACTTATCTTCCAAATTCAAAATTCCAATCGAATACCCTGTGTTGCTCAAACCAGTGAAAAAACCAGTCAATTGGTTTGTTGTTTACAGTTGGTTTTACGTCATGGTGGTATTCAGATGCAGCGATAGATGGCTACCAGAATCATTGGCCATAGCATTCGTCACTCAACACTTGATGCCGTCCCTCACTGCTCTAGTCGATCTGTTTAGCTGAAGGCTTCCGATCAAGCATCCATGCCATTTGATACGCCGTCGTATTACGAACTTCGCGCACGATCCCTAGCTTAACATATTTATTTTCGAATATTAAATAAAAATAAAATAATACCTAAAATCAACAGAAAAATAAGTACAAAATAATGATTTCTAAATTGCACAAATAAACTTCGCACAGATAAATAAATATATGAGCGTAAATTAGTAAATTGGGCTAGTAAAAACAATAGACACAAGTGCAGAAAAATTGGCACACCAGTCGGTGTTGAACAAAATAATGTGTACCTTTTGTGCAGCACTCTCAGTTATTTTTTATTTTTTGATAACAGCTTGATTCCACACTGTATTTTTGGTACAAGTATGGAATTTTCAGCATGAATATCGGTAGCCCAAATTTTGCAGGCCGACCATAGGTATCAGGTGTGCGTCAGGGGATCGAACTTCGGATCATCTGCATGGTCGGCGAGAGTCCTAACCAGTGTGCCACCAACGCACAATATGAGTTTCTACATATATGTGTAGATATCATTGATTGTCTAAGTCATGTGTTGATGTGCAATATTTCTGAGTGGTAAAAATTATGATTTTTAATAACATATGTTGTCAGACACGTCTCATAAACCGTTAATGCCCAGCTCTTGCTACGCTCGGTCCCACGCTGTTCCTTGCAGTTTCTCAGAAACGCCTAGTAATAACGGACGGAAAAACCAAAACACCGATTGGCCGCTTGGGAATTCTTTATTGTAACACCAACATATAAAAATATTTCTACTAAGGTCTGTGAACAAATACTACAATAATAAATCACAATATTACTTCTGATGGTTTACTGCTGACTTCTTTCTGAACAGCGACCGATGAAACGATGACTGTCGTATTGATGCCTCCGCGAAAATTGGGGAAGTTGATTTTGAGCAAACAACCAAGAATTGATCGTTCAATCTTCAACTCCATTGACACTCCCCGGCAAAAAAGGGATCCAACCCTTTTTTCCTTCACGACCAATGCACGTTGACTTGGATGCCATTGCGAGAACCTGGGTCACACGGACAGAGCTGAAATGGAAAACAAACAGAAAAGCCAACACACCACAAGCATACCCACAGCACAATCTCACACATCAATGACGACCTGCGCCTCCAGACAGAGACCTCCTCTTGACATCTTGCAACACAATCGCCACTTGCTAGAATGACTCTTGCAGAATGCAACGTGACCATAGCAGCACCTCATGATACTCTACGCACATCCTCTTATCTACTCACTACCAATTACCACTGAAATCGCTTGTCACTCATTCTGCCTCAGTTCTAGTAGCGGTGACGCATGCGAGCCTCAGTCGTTTACACTCTTTCTCCCCGGCGTGTCGGACCGCAGCTAACAATTATCTCCGTGTGCATTTCATTCTCAGCAATAGCCTCCCCGGCGTATACGACCCATCTGCTGTCTTTAACATCAATCAATTCATTCACGGATGTAGAAGACTCGAAACAACTTCAGAAATAATCACGACGAAAATTTTAACAAAATTACGCAATAACAACAAGATACGAAAACAACAAGTAAACACAATGAATCCAAAAACACCAATTGATATGACACACCACACGTATATACAAATAGTACAAACAACCTCGCCGATCATGTCTTGGTGGAATTCCTTTGAAGAATTGCAGGACTTACACCAGTACGCCTACAACCCTTCACAGGTTGACGATTGTAAGTTGTGGAATGTCCAGACACAAACAAGATTAACCAACAATTACATCAATTGGAACTCACACAACTATTTAACACAAACATATGTACAATCAACACATCAAATGTTGTGGATTCTGACACGACAAACTACCCTTGAAGAACTGTAGGACTTACAGCAGTACGCCTACATTCCTTCTCAGGTTGATGATCCAAGTGGAAGTCGTCCGGACACAAACAGAATTACCAACAGCTAGATGA